ACCCCTGCCGCAGCTGCCAGAAGCTCATGGCCAGGCTGCCTTGTGGCCCTACTACTGCCCCGCATTTGAGGGGGGATAAGCCCCATTATCCCCCCTCTTCTGCTGCCTATGACTATAGACTTCCCCAGTAGATGCAGATGTGACATTTCTTACAAGTGTATACGTTGTTGACATGTTTTTAAACATCTTTATTCTTTTTTGGACTATTTACACTAGCTAGAGCAGAGGTGGTCAACCTGCAGCACAAGTTTCAGCCTGTATGTTTAGCAGCTGATAGATCAGGGAGGGGACAGACAATACAGAGGCAGAAAAGGCAGGGAACAGAAAGCAGAACAGCAAGTCAGGCAGGGAGGGGAAAGCAGAGTAGTGGATTGGTCAGGGAGCACAGGGCAAAGACCAGAAAGTATAAGAAGAAATCAAATAGAGGAAGGGGATTGGAATAGCATTCTAGGATGGTGTGGGGCTAACTTGTGGCATGCTTGCCAAAAGGCTTTGCCCCCACTGAGCTACGGCATACTATTAGTAAGAGCTGTCCTCACATTTTAAGGCAAAATTGATGCCAACATGGGTAAGGAAACAAACACAGAGGTAGAAAGGGCATGTTAATCACGATATGTAAAAACAGGAGCAAAATACCAATTTCCCAATCAGCAAGCAGCACCTTTTTATCTTCTGTGAAGTTCAGTCTTACCTATAGGACAAAATATACCCAATTGCTTTGTCACTTAATCTGATAAGAAAACAGCCAAGGTCCTTGTCTTTAAGCAGGTCTTCAGTCTGCCTGTAAGAATAGAGCAATTTACAGTAAATTTTTAAGTTGGTATCCAGTTCTTCCAGTGCAGTAATATTCCTAATAATTGCTCAGGACATAAAATGTACTGTCTCACTGCACTGAAAACACTTGAACAAGTCAATAGCCATTACAATCATTTGTAGCATGAAAAATACCTTTTCTGTATTCCTTCTGCAATCACAAAACAAAAACTTTAATTTTTTTCTAGTTTTTTGCCAGAAAATTATTTGAGTTCCCCTACGTTGTTATAATTCATTTCCAAAATTGACACTGGGCATCTAGAGAATGTAAAATACAAGAAAAGCTGCTGAAAAAATGATTACATATTCAGGGGCTCCTGCTTCTTTGGAGCACATATTAATCTTTAACATTTAGCTGATAAAACAGTTACCTCATTGAATACCTGCTTTGTCCACATATAAAAGTCACTGGCAAGAGCATTAACTTTACAGTAACCAGACATTACTAGTTTTTTTGCAAAGTAAGCTTAAATCTAATCATGAACCCTCTCATATTTCAGAAAACAGAAGCATTTAACTGAAATATTTATTTAATCTATTTTATGCTATGCTACATGACTATAGGATGTCTTACTTTCTTGTAATGAATCCGTGGAACCATTCAGGTAAAGTACCATTCTGTAATAGTAGAGGAGCCTGTGTGTCCATAAACCACTTCGATGCTAGGTCTTTTAGCAGCTCAGAAGACTGGTTTTCAATTTCTGTGTTTGCTTCCCTTGCTAAAAGTAATTGCTGGTGTTTGTCCTCCATCCTATCATGAAAATGAACCTGAAGCATTTGAAGGGAGAGAGAGCAATTCAGCTGTGTAAACTTCTACTATCATCTGTATTATGGGCAACATGAGATCTCATTTGCTTATTTTATGCCCTGCAATATGGTTCACCAGTTGGATAAAAACAAATGCTCAATGCTGTCATTGTTTCAAATATATATATTCTGTCATTTCCCTTTACAAAGGCATTAGGGAAAAATCTTCCCTAATAAATATGATAGAACTTTCTTATAGTCTGGAACAAAGTTAATGCAAATGCACACTGTTGGCACGTCTGCATGTCACTCTACATCACCATACTGATGTGCTATGTAATCTTAGCGATCACGTAAGTCTACAAGGCTGCCACCAACCGTCTGTCCTGGGATCTCTGCCTCGGCTGCAGCCTTCCTTTGGTTTCCAGGGACTTCCTCCTGGTCCCCCTGTCAGACCGGAGCATGGGGCTTTTATCTCTGCCTCTCTGCCCAAGTTGGCAAATTGGTGTTGGCACGTGCTTACAAAGTACATCCACACTGGCACCAGCTTTTTTTTTCTTCAAGTTTCCTGGCCCTTGTTGGCTGAGACTTGGGATGCCACAACACTGCTGGTGAGTCCTGTGATGTGGCAAACCCGCTGCCGTGGCCAAGCTCTTGTGGCTCAGCGCGCCACAGTGCTGCCAGCAAGATCTGTGGCGTAGGGCTCCTGCCATTGCCACCAGGTCCCTGTGGCTCAGCATCTCCCTTGCCCCTGCCACATGAGGGAACCTACTTTATTACTTAAATTTTGGCCACCCTGTAAAGACATAAAAATCTAAACAACTCCAAACATTTTAATAGTCTTCATAACTTGTTCAGTGAACAATATTTAGTGCAAGGCACAATACAGATTGAAATAGGTATTACATTTTCTAGATGAAAACCTTTATAGTTACATATTGGTCATGCTGATGGTCTTAAATTTAGGAAACAGCACTTAAGAAAAAAAAAAAAAGACAGTTTTTCTAATAACCAAGATATCTGAAATCTGACTCTACCAAAAGAAGGAGGTTAGTTAGAAAAGAATTTATGAGGGTTTCAGGTTAATGACAAAGGTCCATTTAGGTGGATGGAGAATAGAACTTAGAATATATAGAAAGCCAGTCTAGATAGGAGGAGGTGGAGGTGCAGTGACATCCTCTTGCTGGCTGGTACAGCTTACTATTGACAAGCACAGTTTGGTATATACAGATTGGTATATCCCTGATCTTTTGCTTTCAGAACATCTGGGCTTGCGTACTTGAAGCAGTTCTGTTAGCTTAACCTAATGAGACTGTTCTCTCCTGCATGCATAAAAATGCAAAAAACAGGAGCAAATGTGTTCACCATATTAACATATTTGCCATGAAAAGGTAAAGAGCATTAAAGTAGGGTTTGTTTTTTTTTTATAGAGGGTGGATTCTTCCAAAACTAAAATGCAGTTCTTTTTGGAAAACTGGTTTGTTTGTTTTTTATTATTTTCTTTCCTTTCCTCCTCCCAAAACACCACTACAACACTTGCTGTTTCCGATGCAGTAGAACCACTGTTGTTCAATTTCATTTTGGGCCTTGTATATACACAGAAAAGAATTTGCCCAGTACAAGGCATAAGAGAGAACTAGAGCCACTGCCCTAAAAAAGTCACATTAAAGAGCTCCCTAACAAACTATGAAATCAGCTTGGATTCTGGTGTCCATGTTCTGTTTGCTTCAGAGACCCATTTCAGCTTCAGCCTTAGGTAACAGTAAGATTTAATTTCCAACTATCATGATTTTTAAAACTGTGTTGTGCAATATAGCATTTAGAAAACCTCCCTAATAACACATCTTCAGGGAGAATAGATTGATTTGAGCTGTTCCTCTTCAGTATTAAACATGCCAAGGGCTTTAAATATCTACTTACATCTGCTACTACCTAAATCATTGTTCTTGTAGGAACGTTCTGGTCTTGCTTCATTCCTTCAGGCAAACAATATGTTTATCTGCATGCGTGTAGCATTTTAAAACTTTTTACAACATGATTTTATCTTCTGTTCTTTTTGTAAAGGGAACAAATAATATTCTCATTTGACTAAAGCCTATTACACTTTGCATTAGGAAACAACTGCTTTTGTTCTTTCATTTGCAAGGAGTTAAAAATAGCTATGGCAAATGGTGAGTATTCATATTTCACAGAAGTGCAAATTATCTGCACTCTTGATTTGGAGCCAAGGCACAAGCACTTTAATCATCAGATCCTTTATTCCAGGTTTCTGGTTTTGTTTTGTTTTTTTAATTTGCCCACATTTTTTGGAAGCAGCTGCTGAGTTTTTTTTGGATACACAGCTTGAGTCATCTGTGAAGCACCAACAACACCAGGGCTAGACATTCAAAAAGCCTGAGCCTGAATTGATTCAATTTTTGCAGGTTAGACTAACCTGGCGAGGCTGAATCAGTTTGTAACTGTGCAGACTTCCCAGAAATGCAGGCACATGCCTGCTGTGCTCAGGCTAGAAGCTGGGGGTGCTAAAGCAGCCCTCCCTTCCCTTCTACAGTTCTGAGCTGAGGGGGCGTGGCCAGGCCCTGGCAGGACACTCTGATTAGGAAGGGGTCCCCCCTCCCCTCTGCTCTTCAGACCAGCCCAGCAGGGAATTGATAACACAGTGTTTATCACCCCTAACTCAGTGTTTATCAGCTCATTAAGAAAACAGCAAGACATTACTGGCTACCTGTTGCTTCTGCCTTTGTCCTGTCTGCCACAGCATGGACCATAGCCAGCATGTGGTATGCTAACTAATGCTGAGAGGTGTCTGTGTAAGGTAGAGGGGATGGGACAATCCCAGCTTAGCAAGGAGTGGGAAGATGAAGAGCAGAGAGGAAGCCAAGCATACACCTACAGTTTCTGCTGAGCTCCAGCCAAGGAGCAGAGGGCAGGGACCAGCTCTGCTGTAGAACAGAGCGCCCTGTCCAGCCAAGGGGTCTGGGACAGACATTGCATAAACCAGTTTCAGCCATTTTCAAACTGGCTTTTGTGCACTGAACATCTGTTCTGTTACAGGTTTAAAACACTTTCTGATCACTTAAACTGGTTTATGTGTAATGTAGCCCATGTGATGTGATGTGATGTGATGTGATGTGATGTGATGTGATGTGCGTGGGAGCTGGGGTGCTAGAGAGTATCCAAAAGATGTCTCCATTTTTTACATCCAAAAACAAGACAGCTGATATCCCAGTCAATGTTTAAGATTTTTTGGTCCGAAGACTGTGTATGTCTCCTCTGATGCTTCTTGTCATTTTTCCTTAAGACCTAAAGCAGATTAGTGCTATGGTGTAGCACTGAGACTAACATTGCTTCCTTCTTAGCCTGTCCCCTATACTAGAATTTCCAAGGGGTTTCTCTGCAGACAGCCTGTGGCTGTCTTCTGCAGTGTATTTGGCAGAAGAATGCTCCCATGGTGGGATCCACAGGTTTTAGGATCCCTTTACACTTGTTTCAGCCTTTTAACTTAGCATAAAAGTCAATGGGAGTGAAAAATCTCACCAGGGAGTTTTGCCGTTGGCTTTGGTGGGAGCAGGTTTAGAACTCAAGCATGTTTATTTCTTTCATATGGAAAAAAGGAACATGGGAAATAGGACTGGAACAAAAGGTGTTTAGTTTAGCTGGAACTCCACTCGGTATGGGGGAGAGGAGATGCGTAACAGAGCAGTGGAGCAGTCTGTCCCTCTTAAAAGAGAACATAGTAAGCTGCACTGCAGGGTGTTTGGTAGGCAGGGAGTGTCCTATTAAGAGCAAAGCTCCCAGAAGAGTAAACAAGATTGAGCAGAAGAGCTTGCTACAAGGAGGGGCCAGGCTGCTGTACTGGGCCCAGAGCCAAGGGCTGCCCTCCTAATGCCCAAGACAGGGCAGAAGGGTTTGGTTTTGTTTATGTTTGCATGTATGTTGCTTAAGGACTGTCTCTTATCTGGAGGACTGGCTGAGGAACTTCTTAAGGAGCAAAACCCAGTGCAGAAGCTAGTAGGCTAGGCAACTGGCTTGCAATATAGTTTTAACAAATAAATACTTGCAGGACTGAGACAAAGCAATGTCCCCTGGAAAAGGCAGAATGAGGTCAGTGCACGTGCCAAACTTTTAGGGAATTAATCCATGTTTTGTTAGAGGTGATGAAGTAGCTTTCACACAAAATAGAGGGACGTGAAGGGTATTTTTCCTTTAACGTTTGTTCTGCTTATTACATTAGAAATATTGGGTCTTGATTTCTTGTTTTGCCAAGAACCAGGTCTAGAAAACTAGTTGGATTGTGACATCTTAAGCAACTGAAACCTAATGAAGTGAAAGGACGAGTTTTTTCACTAGACTGCTTTCAGACTAATTGGTCTGATATTCAGCTGATGACCACTGACTTGAAAGGAGTCATACCACTTTATACCAGCTAAGGATCTAGTTCTGTTTTATACTTGTTTGACCCAGATTCCTTTCAAATGTCTTGGGGGGGGGAGCTATTTTGTTAAATGCTTAACACCCTTGACACCTCAGGTGAAGGCTGAAAAGATTTTAAGTTCTTTTGTCTTCAAAGACCTCTTCTAGCAAAACTGATTTAAAAAAAAAAGTCAAGACATGGTATTTCTAATATAAAAAGTAAGTGTGTGAGTAAGTCTAATATAATAAAAGCCTTAGTCTGTCTGTCTGTAATACTTTATTCACACTTTGAGTGGTTGTCTCAGCAGCCAATCACAACACTGACTGAAGCAACCAATCACAGTGCTCTGCACAGACAGAAACACATGGCAGAGTGCTGCCATGACAGCTGGGACTGAGCGAACGGATTGGGGGTGAGTCCCTCCCCCCCAGCCCTGCTCATTGGAGGCGGTGACAGCATGGGGTGCTGGCCATGCAGCGCTGGCCTCACCCCCCCCCCCCGCCACTTTGGCACATGGGGCCAGATGTGGGGGGTGAGAGGGGAGCACGGGGCTGGAGGTGGAGCAGCAGCAGCACAGGGTGGTAGGTGGCGGCGCCCCGTCCC